TTGCTTCCGGAAGACTGGGCCCGAAGGAAAGTAATGCCACCTTCTGTGCCGCCTTCCCAGTGCGGCTGTGGCCGTGGAGGGTCGGCCGGCAGGCCACCGGGCGCTCTGTTTCCACTCCTGTTCCAGAGGTCCGCCATGCCGCGTCAGTCTGAAAACAGAGCATCTGCCGGCTGACCTGTCTTCCTCCCCGATCACTCGCTGTGTGTTAGCTGCTGTGCTTTCCTCTCCAGATCTCTGTTTTATTATCATCTTCCAAATGCAAATGGAAGGTTAGGTATCACCTTCCAGGGTCCATAACAGGAGTGGTTCTGGATGAGCCTCAGAAAAAAAATATTTTCAAGGCATTGGTTTGACATAGAACAAAAGCATCTCGAAACATTTTATTTTTCTGGTTTCTCAGAGGAAAGCAAACAGGAAAATCTCCGTCTCCAGCCTTCTCCCGCCCCAATCCCCTCGGACCCCCAACCCTCATCCTTGAGACATCATTTCCCTCCAAGGTAGACCCTGGAAAATGCTCAGGAAGCTGTCGCACGTCTTGTGCACACGGAGCTGGGGGCTCCGTGCTGCCATCTAGTGGTCTACCTCCGACACAGCAAGCTGCTCTCCCGAGTCCCGTTTGAACTTGGCTGTGGCGGGAGCTGTGGTTTGGCGTGCATCCTGACGGAGCTTTGTTGCCAGCCATGGAGGGTTTTTTTTTTCATTTTCACTCCCTATGCCCCCTTTCATTTTTGTATGTTGACACTTAATTTCATGTGTCTCCAGAGGCTACACTTTGGGTTTGGATGTATTTGGTCTTTCAGAAAGGAGGCGGTTGATGCAAACGGACGCTCTCGACAACGGGTAAAGCACAGGCCGGGCGGCCCGGGAGAGCGCTAGGCTCCGGGAGGCGGAGACGGAGAGGGAAGCGTGCGACGCGGTTTGTCCCGCGGTTTGCTTCGCTCCTGTCCTGGCTCAGTGGGTGTTGCAGAGCATTCCGGCGTTTCCTTCCAGGGCCCGTTTGCCGCCATTTCTGTCGCTTAGATTTGGGGAGGCTCCAGCCCGAGCGGGAATCTTGGGGAACACTTGTGTGAGGTTGCTAGTCGGGCTTTCAGAGGTGTGATTGGCCGCGTTACCTGTCAGTCAGTCCCCAGATGGCACAACTTCCTTGCTACCAGGGTTCAGCGGGTGTCTGCAGACCCCCCCGGGGGTGGGGTGGGGATGATGCGGCTCCTTGGAGTTCTTCGGCTCCGGTTAGAGAGCTCATGCCACACTGGGGGGGACCACCAAGAAGCTACCCATGCCCCCTGGGGCCTCAGGGCCTGACATTGTCTTGTTCTGGTCTGTACCCTGAGTGCCTGGGAAGTACGAACGTGTAGCTGTTAAACGTGTAATATGCCTCTGGAACCAGACACACGTCTGCTCGTGTGACCCCGGGCAAGTTTCTTAACCTTGGTGCCTCCTCTGTAAAACGGGGACGATGGGGAATTTTTTGTGAAATGGTGCTCGAAACGTTCTTAGCCCAGAGCCTGTTATACAATCATGTTTAGTACGTGTGCACCAGTGTCAGAGGATGTTTCTTGAGTGACAAAGTGAAGGGAGAACAGAAGTAAACCTTGAGTCAGAGCGGAGGACACTAGGTTCCCCCCCACCCCCGCAGGTGGGGGCGGGGCCGGGGGCGAGGTGGGGGTGGGGGATGAGGGTGCCGATGGAGACAGACAAGTGAGTGAAGGGGCCCCGGTTCGCCGCTGCTCGCGGGGGCTGCTGGCTTGACGACCCGTGTTTCCATCCTTTCAGGGAAAGTGCAGCGAGTGGTCTTGATTAACCTGTGCCCGGACTGACTCTGTTGCTGCTGGACCCAGTTAAGGGGGTGGAGGAAGCAGCCTGTCCCCGGTGGCCCTCTGCAGTGGGTCCTTCTTCCTTGGAGGGCCGGGGATTCTAAGCCCGTGCCCCTTGTCCTCGCCAGCCAGACACCGGGGAAACGACCAGACAGGGCCGCTCGGGGCCACCGTGACCGGTGGTAGAATATAAAGAAAACTCCAAGGGCTATTAGAGGGAGAGAGAAAACCCCAGTAACCTACAGCTGAGGTCTAGGTTCGTTCCTGTGTGTGTACAAAAAAAAATCCAGATGTGAATCTATAAACCATCTGGTTGGAATAACTTTTGTGCTGGACTGTAATTACAAGCTATTTATTATGAATCTTGGGATCCCGTTATGGATCTTGACTGGCGCCCAGGTTTCAGATTTAGCTAAGAGTTGCTGTATTTAAGAGCGTGTGTGTCTTCCTTCCTGTTTATCAAACCCCAAATGGAGACTTCACACTCACTCTGGCCGCCCTTGGGGCACGGCATTCCCGCCACCTGAGTCTGCCCTTCAGATGCACGTGGGGGGTGGGTGGTCCTTCCCTAAGGCTGCAGCCAGGTCTGCAGAAGGCTGGGGTGGCAGATGCTCTGCTTGGGAAGGTGTTCACCTCAGGCGCCTCGGGGCGGATGGACCTGGTGTCAAGCAATGGCTGCAGGAAGCATGCTTCGCAAAGCAAAGCCACCGTTCACGGTGCCAAGCAGCACACACACACACACACACACACACACACACGATCGTTGTTCGGATCCCTTCTGTGGTGGCAGAGGGCACTGTGAGGTTCTCACATCTGCTTCTTTAGCTGGCCTTATGACCGTAGTAGCTATGTGTCCCATTTGTAATGTAAGGAGAATCCGAAAATGAACCGTGGGGGGGGTGGGCCGTGACTCGCAGTGTCTTCATGCCCCCATCCTTACGAAGACGAGGGGGTGAAGCGGGCAGCTTTGGAGGGCTTGGGGGCAGGGCGCCTGGGTTCCGGCTGCAGCTCAGCTGCTCTCCAAGGGGCCATGGGCATCCCAAGCCCATCTCGGCCCCGCTGGGCCCAGGAACGTTCCCCAAAGAGCCGTGGCTGTCAGCCCTGCCCGCACACGGGGATCCCCCAGGGCGCCTGGAGAAAACGCCCGGGCCTGGGCCTGGGCCTGGGCCTGGGCCAACTCGGGTCTGAGCTTCGGGGGCCAGGCTGGGAGGCGGTGCCAGGCTCTGCTAAGAACTAGGTGGGGCTCTGATTTGTAGCCTAGTGTGAGGACCATTGCCTCACAATATTTTGAGGACTTAATGAGATTAGTCCCCATGAGGGCCCTTAACACTGTATAGATGCCCCAAAAAGGGGAAGAGAAGACACTAGTTTCCTTGGGTCAACCACCAAAAATCACACACTGATGACTAATCAGTAAAAACCCGAAAGGTCTGCGTGACCAGCCTGCGAGAGCGGGTGCAGGTAGCTGGGCACCGACGCCCTCTCTGGGTGGCCAGGCAGGTCCTGGGATGGCTCCCCAGGGTACTCACCACACTGGCCTCGGGGGCCTCACCTGGGATGATGGCCCTGCCCTGTGCATGTCATCATCCAGTGGAAGAGTTTGAGTGACACTCTTCCCACGGTGGGCTCATTATGCCCATGCCGCTGGGGCCTTGCAAAGCCAAGAAGCTGGGAAATAACAAGAGCTTTTGGGACAGCGAGGCCCAAAGCTCCGTACACCTCATTCTGGGGGAGCGGTAACTGGGGGAAGTGGGGTTCTGGGACGCTGCACAGGACCATCACTTGGAAGGGGAGGAGGTGGCGATCTGGATTCATTGGAGAATGAGACCCTGGGCGCACCTTGGGGTGTGGGTGGGACTGCTAAGGAACGTGAGGGCGGCATAGAAGCTGATGAGTTTGATCTTAGAACGGGGTCAGGGCTGGGACGTAGCGTAGAGGCTTGGCTTGGACCCCCAGCCCCAACACACACACACACATGTGCACGCACGCACATGCACACACGCACACACATACCTGTTTTTGGTTTGGGACCAGCAATGACGCTGAAGCAGACGGGGCACACTTGTGACTCTCCCGAGGTCACTGTCAGAGCTGAGGCAGAATTTCTCCTGCTCACATGCCTGAAAGGTTCTAGGTTTACCTCAAGGTGAGAGAGCTGGTCAGCCCCTCCATCTGCCCCCAGTCAGGCCAGGACTGTGCCGTACCAGCAGCCTGAGTCAGAGCGGGGCCCGGGCCACGCACACGTGTGGGTTCACCTCGACATCCACCTCTCCTCCCGAGAAGCTGTATGACCCGGGGAAAGCCCTAGACCGTCTCTGAACAGCAGTCCTCTTGTCTGTGAACAGGGGACAGTGATAAGGGTCGCCTGGCAGGACCCAAGTAAGAACGGAAGCTGCGGCACCAAGCATGTAATAGACCCTCCTTAACAAAGCTCCAGTCTCCTTGAGGGTCTGGGGCAGGGTGACTGTGGTTCCCGTGCATCCCCTCCACAAACAGGAGTAGAAGTTCTGTTCGGCTCTTCTCCAAGGCATTGTGTCAGCTCACCTTTCAGGGTAAAACCAGAGATGCAAATACTCACCCGACTTCATTAGCATACGGCTAATGGGATGCAGCTGCCCCCGGGCTGTGCAACACTGAGGGCTGTGTCTCTGCTTGGCACGGGGAGTATTTTTTTTTTTTCCTCTTACTGAGCCGATTCAGTCCTCAGCTTTGTCGTTATTTGAGTTGGAACTTTAGATTGCTGCATTTTAATGCACTCTACTATTAAGGATTGTTGGACGGCAGTGCGCAAATATTTTTGTTCTCACGATGCAGTCCTGGCCCAGGTAGCCCAATGGGCAAAACATGATTTACGCAAATATTATGGTTTCTATAGTGCATACTAAAAGGAAACCCTAGAACAGAGCGGGAGAACCCCCCCTCCCCCCGCCCCTTAGTCTTTGGTTATCTAGGTCAGGTTGGCTTGTAAAAAAAGAGACTTTTCATCCCCTCTCGTCTGCCCTTCGTCTAAAAAAGCCCTGTGTTTCTGGACGGGTATTTCTGTTCTATTTCAAAACCTTTTGCTGTCATGGAGGTTTTGTGCCAGGGCGAAGGGAAAGGGGGGCTGGGCAAGCGTCGCCGAGTGCCGGGAGTCCGGGGGCTCCGTGCGAAGCTGGTCTCACGTGTCTCCTGTCTCTCTCTGCCCAGAACAAGGAGGTGACCTGTAAGAGGGAGAAGTGCCCCGTGCTGTCGAGAGACTGCGCCCTGGCCATCAAGCAGCGGGGAGCCTGCTGCGAGCGCTGCAAAGGTGACCGGGGTCGGGGGAGGGGGGGGGGGTGCGCTTCTGGCCGTGGCTGCAGACGTTTCCATTTCTGTTCCTCTCGCCTTCCTGTCCACGCAGCCTTCGGGTGTGGGGAGGGAACAGTGTGTGTGCACGTGTGTGTGTCGGGGGCGGAGATGGGGCTCTGCTAGCGGAAGTCTGGAAGTAAGGCGAGCATCTGCCTGGTGGGCTTGTTTTCCAAGGCAAGTCGTTGAAATCGCACGGAGGAACGGGATGCCCGGGCACGCCGGTGCGCACACACGCGCAGGCACTTTTTGCAAGAAAGTTTCAGCACTCCGTTCTCGCCAGACCCCTCCCTCGCCCTGCCCACCTCAGCCAGAGTCTTGAAGCCCAAATTTTATCATTGTGGTCCCCGTTAAAGTTTCTCTTTCCTTCCCAATTAAATGTACGTTGTCTGTCTTCCAAGCATCTCCAAAGGACTCTCCCTCCCACCTCGTCCCGGTTCCCGCGGCCTGCGGCGCATGCGCCCCTTGGACGCCCGTTTCCAGTCTAGCACCTGGGACTCCGCTCAGATCCTTCCGCCAACCTGCCCGGGTGCTGCCTGTGCTGCGTCCGTCCCCCAGGCCTCAGCGTCACTTTCCCGTTTAAGGTCCCCCGGCAGAGGGAGATGCACACACGCGCACTTCAGTGGTGTGTCGCCTGCTGTGGGAGGGCAGGTCCTGGTGATGCTCTGGGTCACCTCGTGTGCGTTAGTGTGCGTGTAAACGGTGCCCCACAGAGTGGGGCCCTCGGGAGGCGAAGTGAGTGCATGGTTCTGGGCATGGACTCTGGAGCCCCACCGCCAACTCCTAATCCGACGGTCCTGGGTTGCAGAGTGTTCCCCGGAAGGTCGTGTCCACTCGGAACCACAGAGTGTGACCTTACTCGGCAGTGGAATCTTTGGAGATGTGATTAGTTAAGATAACATCCTAGTGGATTAGGGCAGCCCCAGAGCCAACGTGACTGCTGTTTTTGTTTGGAGAGAAGACAGACAGACAGAGACACACGAGAAGGTGGCCGTGTAACTGGAGAAGCAACGCAAACACCTGGACTCTGCTCCCCGGGAGTCAGACTCACTGGTTCTGGGGAGGGCTCCAGGCCTCTGTCTCTTTAAAAAGCTCCCAAGGGATTTAACCCGTAGCCTGGGGCTGGGGGTGGGACTCGGAAAGAGTTCTTGACCTAGTACCAGGTGATTTCTGCCCCCACAGAAGAACATACACACCAGGGGGATGTCAGACAAGGGAAACTTAAAAAAAAAAAAAAGAAAAAAAGCTCTTATAAAAACCAAGTAAACAAACTGAAGCCCCCCTTTTTTTAGTGACAAACCCATGAGTCTCTATTCTGTGAAGACCCTGTGAGCTTTTCAAAACACACTGTTATGCAAAATGCTCATGTCCAGTACGAAGACCAAATTGTTCATGATTATAGTCATTGTGAACTATAGTAATTTTTTGCTCACCCCCCTCCCATAAACAAATAAGCAAACAAAAAACAAGAGAGGCGGTGATGGGCATTGTGCTCCCACAAACCAAGGACAGACTCACCTGGCGGTGACACTAGGGACCAGGTGAAGGCGTGAAGGATGTCCCCCCCAGCCCTCAGTGGAGCATGGCTGCGCTGACACCTTGACTTTGGACTTACGGGCTCCAGAAGTGTGAGAGAATCAATTTCTGCCGTCCCAGGGCCCCACGCTTGTGGTCATTGGTTACAGCAGCCCTGGCGCACTGATACCCCATCTTTTCCCTTGGGCAGGTGGAGACGCGGAACCTCCCTCTACCCCAGTTCCCTCCCCTGTAACGTGAGGGCAGCAATTGTGGGAGGGACTCCACGGGGAGATACTGTCTAAGGGTTTAGCGCAGTGCCTGGTGTGTACATGTTTCTCAAGTATAGTGGGTGCTCTTAAACTGGTTGACAGACTTGACTGTAAAAACACATTTTCTGAATCCTTTTGGAGCAGGGTTTTTCTCTGACCCTTTGCTCTCCTCCTGTTTTGATTTTTTTTTATTATTAGAATATAAGAAATACAGTAAAATAGATAATGGCCAAGAAAATAGAACTCTAGTGTTCAAGTGCTGGTGAGTGCTTATCAAAACTCTTTCAATTGTGTAAATAAATGGGGTGAAGGGACTTGAACCAAGAACTGGCTAACCACCCCCTGTCCCTTGTTGGGACTTTGACTTTGCTCTTTTTTCCTTCCAACGTCTCTCTCTTCCTTCTTCCCTCCCTTGGCGTATCTTTTTTTCTGTTTTTAGCTTTTGTTAGAGAATGACTACATGAATATAGTATCATACTAAAAATTTAAATAATATGGGGGAAAGAATATTTTCTGAGCTGCAAAACTCCTCTTTTCTCTGAAATAACAAGTGTTATCAATTTTCTGTGTCTTCCCCAGACCTCCTTTCTGGGTGTGTTTCAGATACATGCACACGCATGTAATTTTGTTTCTGTGGTTTTATTTTTGCACAAAGGGAATGAAACCGTACAGATTCTGCAACAGTTAAAAAAACATCTCAACAATAACATGACTTGGAGATTTTCTCATGTCACTTTGTTCGGGCTGTTGTTTGGATTCCAGAATGCAGATGCATAACAATGCAATGAACATCTTACTGACAGAGGTTTAGATGTTCAGCGAGCATCTTGCCACGTGGCCGGGAATCCGCTTGCCCTTCCCGTCGTGGCCGTTGGTGCACCTCTCTCCAGGACGGAGGCCTGGATGTCGAAGTGCCGCGGGAAGAGGTGTGTACCCATTACCTCGTAGTGGGCGGTCCCCAGTGGCCGCCAGAAACGGCAAGGCTGGTCTCCTTTCCCATTGCTTGAGAGTTTTAAGCTCTTTCTTCCCCAAAGAAGACAGAGTAGAAGAGGGAGGGCTGGTATTACACATGATGACGTTTAGACAAGCTGTCTGATTTTTCCTTAAAAACCTGCCTGTTGGCCCATGCACTGCTCACGCGGCCAGTTCCTCCTCTCCGACTGCTGTGCGCATGCTCCCTTCCCAACTCTCGCTGGTTCTGTTCTGGATATTTTCCTCCCCTCCCTGTGGCTCGGCAGGAAATGGAATCAAGCTCTTCTTCATAAAGAACATAGCTGAGGCCATGAACTGCTTGTATGTTTTTCGGTGACACATAGAAATCCCTGACAGTTGTCAACAAGTTAAGACTTGTATGATATTATTTTTGCAAAATTTAGCCCCATGCTGAAGAACTACAGGTACGGAACCAATTCAATGTAGAACATAGGCTGGGTGGAGAAAGGTGGGAATGATTTTCTTGCTTCTTAGTTCCATGAGAAGTACCATTGCCATCCTCTTCAACATCCTAATTACCAAACGTACTCCACATTGAGGCATTTGAAGGCTCTTGGAGGTTATTACTTTTTGTTTGTTTGGATATTTTCAATGTGAGGGAAGCATGCAGAGAAGAAGGCATAGTATTAGCTTATTCTTTCTTGGACAGTCTACTAAGAACTTTGGACCATTTAAAATTTCCATTATGAGCTGGTATGGCTCAGTGAATTGAGCGCCGGCCTATGAACCAAAGGGTCGCCAGTTCAATTCCCAGTCAAGGCACATGCCTGGGTTGCAGCCCAGGTCCCCAGTAGGGGGCACTGGAGAGGCAACCACATGTTGATGTTTCTGTCCCTCTCTTTCTCCTTCCCATCCCCTCTCTAAAAATAAATAAATAAAATCTTTAAAACAATAAAATAAAATTCCCATTATTATGCTGTGTTTATATTTTGCTCTGTGTACTACCGTGTATTGGAGCCACTTCTGTAATTGGTGTTAATAGTTTAGTTATGATTACTGGAGCCTAATTTCATTTCTTTAAACCATTACAGAAGTTCATGTTCATTGCATCTCGGTATTCGACCATGACCGTTTTTCAAGGGTTTTTCCCTTGGGTCGCTCCCATTCTTTGTCTGAGGCCCGGCTGCTGGTCAGGAAGGCAGCTCCCGAGTGAGGACACTGTGCTTGTGGAAGCCCCGGCCCCGGCGGGTTGTGAGGTGTGAATGACCGGGTCGAGTTTAAGACTTTTACCCCCAGCCGCTGTCTTCACAGAGTCCAGAGGGCCTTGTTTCCCTCCCACCATGCTGCGGACTGGGTCAGTTAGCTCATGCTGGTCACTTAGTCCTCACCGCAGCAGGTACTTTCTGTCTTTCTCATCTCACCTGGGAAGAAACCAAGGGCCCAGAGAAGTTAAATGATCAGACCAGAGGTCAACCAAGGGTGTCTGTGTCTTCAAGGAGATGGCTGTCCTGGAGGGGACAAAGCGATGCCTTTCGGTGGGGTGGGGGCTGTTATCCAGGGGAGGAGGGCAAGGGGAGGAGGACAGATTGTGGGCTAAGGGGTGGGAGCGTGCTGGGAAGCTGTTCGCTTTCCCGAACAAGAAGGAATTAATCACCTCCGAAGAGGGCTGTTCGGGGCAGGGCTGGGGGCGGGGACCCTGGTGCACACAAAGGCATGAAATAGTTCTTAGGCACCGCCTGCCACTTATGATCGCCTAGGGAACTTGTTAAAATATCAGTTCCTGGGCTTCCCTCCAGATCTACTGAATGAAAACAAATCTGGAAGGAGTTTTTGTTTGTAAGTTGTTGATCATCTGGGGGAGGGTAGAGGGGTCAGACAAAAACGTAACAGAATTCTATCGTGATTTCTGCTTCTTTTCCTCTGAAAGAGATGTTGATATGAAAAAAGGCAAATCTGTTTGAGGACAGAAATATGAAAACTCATACTTCCAAAAGGATTCTTGAGGGTGTGTGTGTGTGTGTGTTTATGCACTTGTGTTCCCATTTGCTTCAGATCGCTCCTGTGATTCATTTGTTCATTCATTCATTCACTGAACAAGTATTTACCAACCCAAATGGTCGGTACCTATGTCCTGGCATGGCTTACCAGTTGTTCTTAACTTTTAGGAAGCCAGAATATTCCTTAAAAACAAAGTAAGTAAATTATAACTAACTTTCCTCAAGCACCAGTTTTAGATGTTTTT